TTTTGATTTATTGTAGAGATGAGGTCTCGCCAAATTGCCCAGGCTGGTCTCGAACCTGCAGGCTCAGGCAATCCTCTCACCTCGGTCTCCCAAAGTGCTGGGATTATAGGCGTGAGACATCGCATCCACCCTAGTCATTGTTTTCTTAATTCTTCTTGCTTTGTTCCTTACTATTGTATAGAAATACAGCTGGATTTTTCCATATTGATTTTGTATCCTGCAATTATACTGAATTCACTTATTAGTTCTAATAGTTTTTTCTGTGGATTCTTTAGGGTTTCTACATGTAAGACCCAGTCATCTGCAAACAGAGATAGTTTGACTTCTTTTTCAGTTTGATTGACTTTTATTTCTTTTTCTTACCCAGTTGTTCTGGCTATAATTTCCAGTATTATGTAGAATAGTAGTGGTTGAAGATTTTTTCCTCTTTATTCATAAACAATATTGGTCTAAAATTTTCTTGTAATGTCTTTATCTAGCTTTGATAAGATAATTCTTGCCTCATAGAATGAGTTAGGAAGCATACTTGCTCAATTTTTCTGAAGTTTTAGAAGGATCACTCAAGTCTTTAAATATTTGGTAAAATTCATCAGCAAAGTCATCTAGTCCTGATGGCATCTAGTTCTTTGGGGAGAGGTTTTTTTGGTTTTGTTTTGTTTTTGAGTCAGTCTACTCTGTCACCCAGGTTGGAGTACAGCGGCATGCTCATGGTCACCACAGCCTCGACCTGCTGGGTTCAGGCGATCCTTCTGCTTCAGCCTTCCAAGTATCTGGAACTACAGGCAGGTGCCTCCACACCCAGCTAATTTTTTTATTTATTGTAGAAAGGAGGTCCCACCAAGTTGCTCAGGCTGACCTCGAACCCCTGAGCTCAGGCAATCCTCTTGCCTCTGCCTCCCAAAGTGCTGGGTTTACAGGTGTGAGCCACTGCACCCAACTGCTGGGAGGTTTTGATTACTGATTCAATCTCCTTTCTCATTACTGGTCTATTCAGACTTACTTTTCCTTTTTTGAGTTGGAGTCTCACTGTGTTGTCCAGGTTGGAGTGCAGTGGCACGCTCATGGCCACCACAGTCTCAACCTGCTGAGCTCAGGTGATCCTTCCACCTCAGCCTTCCAAGTAGCTTGAACCACAGGCATGCACCACCACACCTAGCTAATTTTTTGATTTATTGTAGAGACGAGGTCTTCCCAAGTTGCTCAGGCTGGTCTTGAACCCCTGAGCTCAGACAGTCCTCTCGCTTCTGCTTCCCAAATCTTGCTGGGATTACAGGCAAGACTCACTGTGTCCAGCTCTTTTAAAAAAAAATCTATTTTGGTAATTTTTGTTTCTAGGAATTTATGTATTTCATCTAGATTATCCGATTCGTTGGCATGCAGTTATTCATAGTATTCTCTTATAATCCTTTTTGTTTTTGTAAAGTTAGAAGTGATAGCTATCCCCTCATTCATTTCTGATTTAAGTAATTTGTAATCTTCTCTTTTTTTTTTTTTTTTTTTTTTGAGTTGGAGTCTCACTCTGTAGCGATCCTTCAGCCTCAGCCTTCCAAGTAGTCAGAACTGCAGGTGCATGGTACCATGTCCAGTTAATTTTTGATTTATTGTAGAGATTAGGTCTCGCCAATAGGTCTTGCCCAGGCTAGTCTCGAACCCACGGGCTCATGCAATCCACTCGCCTCGCCCTCCAAATTGCTGGGATTACAGGTTTAGTAGTTGAGCCCGGCCGCAATCTTCTCTTTTTAAAATCAAACTAGCTAAAGATTTGTCAACTTGGCTGGCCACAATGGCCAGAAGGTTGAGGTTGTGGTGGCTGTGAGTGTTCCACTGCACTCCAGCCTGGGCAACAGAGTAAGACTCCAACTCAAAACAAAACAAGAAAAGATGTGTCAACTTTGTTTACTTACTTTTTCATTTTGAGTCGGGGTCTCACTCTGTCACCCAGGCTGGAGTGGGGTGGCAGGATCACAGCTCATTGCAGCCTCGACCTCCTAGGCTCAGGCAATCCTTTGCCTCAAGCTCCCAAGTAGCTGGGACTACAGGCACACGCCACCATGCTTGGCTAATTTTTTTTTCTGGCTATGTGATAAGTATAGGTTCATTGATTGTAACAAACGGACCTCTCCTGGGAAGGCTGAGTATGTGGGGGCAGAAGGTATATGGGAACTCTTTGTACTTCCTGTTCAACTCTGCTTAACCTAAGACTGCTCTAAAAGATCATTAAAAAAAAAAAAAAAGATCTCCACATTCAAAATTTATCTGACCTGTTCAAACTTCAGAGAAAAAAATAAACTTCATGGTCATTAAATGTATATTCAACTCCTTAGCCAAACACAGTGGCTCATGCCTGTAATCCCAGCACTTTGGGAGTTGGAAGTAAGAGGATTGCCTGGGCTCAGGCGTTCGAGACTAGCCTGGGCAACATGGTGAGATCTCAACTCTACAATAAATAAAAAAATTAGCTGGGTACGGCAGCATGTGCCTGTGGTTCCAACTACTTGGAAGGCTGAGGTGCGAGGATTGCCTGAGCCCAACAGGTGGAGGTGGTGGGTGTCCGTGAGCGTGCCACTGCACTCCAACCAGGGCGACAGAGTGAGACCCCAACTCAAAACATAAAAAACCCCAAACTGCTTAGACATGTACATGACTAATGACAAGGGAGATCCTCTTTTGGTAAAATATGGCCTCATCCCAGCTGATGAATAACCCAAACGTTAAAAGTGGTGAATCTCTATGGACACATTCCTGTGGCAGACTAGAAAAAGCAAGAGCTAAAATGGTTCAGAATGAAGTTCAAGTCCTAACTGAAGCACTTAATGCTCTGATTCCTAGACCAATAAATAGGTCTCTATGAACTGATGATTTTGTTTGTAAAGTGGGGTTGTTCCTTTAAAAATGGATGTTAGCCAGGGTTGGTGGCTCAGCCGGTAATCCCAGTACTTTGGGAGGCCAAGGCGAGTGGATTGCTTGAGCCCCTGGGCTCAAGACCAGACCAGGTAACTTGGCGAAACCTCATCTCTACAATAAAATAAAAGTAAAAAAAAAAATAAAATAAAATAAAAATTCGCCAGGCATGGTAGTGCGTGCCTGTAGTTCCAGCTACTTGGAAGGCTGAGGCGGAAGGATGGCCGGAGCCCAGAGGTCGATGCTGGAGTGGTTGTAAGTGTGCCACTGCACTTGAGCCTGGGTGATGGAGGCTACAACTCAAAAAATAAATTTTAAAAAATGGTTGTTACCCCAAAAAACCTGGCATGGATGTAGGTGTCCAAATAATGTTAGGGGAAAAATAAAATCAATATTGCTTTCATGAAAAGTATATATGCAAATCTCAACTAAGTTCAAAATATTAATAATCTTTTGGTGATGATATTATGGGTAGTTTTTTTTGTTGTCTTTTTTTTTGAGCTGGAGTCTCACTCTGTCACCCAGACTGGAGTGCAGTGGCCGCTCCCAGCCACTGCAGCCTCGACCTGCTGGGCTCCAGCGATCCTTCCGCCTCAGCCTTCCAAGTAGCTGGAACTACAGATGTGCACCACCATGTGCGTTTTTTTTTTTTTAAATTGTAGAGACAAGGTCTCACCAAGCTGCCCAGGCTGGTCTCGAATCCTCCAGGCTCAGGCAATCCTCTCACTTCCGCCTCCCAAAGTGCTGGGATAACAGGTGTGAGCCACCACACCTGGCCAATGTAATTTTATTATTCAAAAAAAGGTTTTTTTTGTCAGGGTCTCACTGTCACCCAGGGTGGTGTACAGCAGCATGATCATGGCTCACTGCAGCCTCAACCTCCCAGGCTCAGGAAATCCTCACACCTAAGCCTCCTGAGTAACTGTGACTACAGGAGTGTGCCACCACATCCAGCTTTTTAAATTTTGCAGATACAAAGTCTATGTTGCCCAGGCTGGTCTTGAACTTCTGGGCTCCAACAATCCACTCACCTCGATCTCCCAAAGTGCTGAGATTACAGGCATAAACCACAGCACCTAGCCTCAAATTTCTATCTTCCAAATTTTCTATACTAAACACAATCTCCTGAACACTGTTCAGGAAATAAACACATTTACATTTTTTTTTTTGAGTTGGAGTCTCACTCTGTCACCCAGACTGGAGTGCAGTGGCCACCGCAGCCTCAACCTGCTGAGCTCCGGCGATCCTTCCGCCTCAGCCTTCCAAGTAGCCAGAATTACAGGCATGCGCTACCACACCGGGCTGATTTTGTGATTTTATTGTAGAGATGAGGTCTCGCTGCCCAGGCAGGCGTCACCCGCAGGTTCAGGCAGTCCACTCACCTCAGCCTCTCAGAGGCGTGGGATTACAGGTTGAGCCACCAAGCCCGGCTCACATTTACATTTTTAAAAATCACAACACAAAAATTGTAGAAAAGAATATTTTATTGAAACAGTTTCTCAATTAACAATGGAGCAAAGTACAATTTGATTCAAACCTGTCCAACCAGCTTCAACTGCTAATTAAAGGACTCAAACATACAGAAGAGAAGGGGGTGGGGAAGGGGGTGGAACCCTTAGGTCCCATCTCTGCCAATGTGGCAAAAAAAAGAAAAAAAGAAAAAATGACTGACACAACCAGATTCGCTCGTCTTAGAACTGGGGTGACAGCCCTAGCTCCTGCTACAGGCAGAACACTGTAGGACGGGCCCCCTAGGCATCGCACGGTGGGTTGGGGGCCCCATCCTAGCAGAGCAATGCCCATGAGGAAGGCCAGCACAGACCCTCTTCCTTCACCCACAAGGCCTGCCTCCAAGAGAGTGAGGTGGCGTTTTTACATTCATACCATGGTTTCTCCTTCCCCCAGGGTGTTGGGTTAGGGGCTCACAGTAGAAAGCACGTTTTGGTCAGCCCAGGGGGCAGGGGGTAAGGGAAAGACCCTGCCTGGGAGGAGCAGTACAGCAGGAGAGAAGGGGGCAGGTAATCATAGGAACCTGGGTACCAGGCTACTGGAAAAATGCAGATTTTGACAGAGCTTGCAGGATGCTGGCATCCCACACCAATCATTCCATGTGGCTTTCCTGGGCCCAACAGCCCACAGGTAGGAGCTCCACGGCCTGCACACAACAACCTCCCTGGAGAGATGGTGGATTCCCTTCTTTACCTTGTACCTCCCTACTCCAGCCATTAGAGGTCATACACATAGGTGAGGATACTTCCAGATTTGCTTCAGCCAGTCTAGATGAAAGGCTTTGGGCAAGGGGCAGAGAACTGCCCAACTCACATCAGGAAGCCAAGGAACCCATGGGAAGAGGAGCTAGACAGGAATGGGAGGGCGGAGCAAGGAAGAGAAGACATGGAAGGGCACAGACAGACACTCGGAAACCAAACCTGGTACCGAGGCTCTAGACACTGGCTTGAATGAACGTCAATTTCATAGCAGAAGAGGAAAGGAGGGAAAAAAGGGTGATCAGAGAAGAGAGGAAACTCCCAGTATCCCAGGACATCCTTCCCCCACCAGGTCTTGTCAACCACTGACAGCCAATCTCAAATCTACCCACAGGCAAAGAATTAAGACACAATAGTGATTTTCCCCAAATTTAGGGCCTGGATGGGTAGGGAACCAGGGGGTGGGACTGGGAAAGGGAACAATTTCAGTTTTTAACCACAGAGCTGATGCAGAGGGAACTGGTGAGCTGTCCCTCCCTTCCCCTTCTCCACACTTCCAGTCACGGGCAAGAGAAAAGGAACCAGAGTCCGAGGGCAGGACCGACCCCTCCTCCCACCCTCGATGTTTAATAAATAGAGGTGGTGGGAGAAGGAGGTGGAGGTGAAGGGGGAGACGGGAGGTGGGGGTTATAGTTCATCATTCTTCGAAGGCCGCTTTTGTCCTGCAGTCTGCTCCTTCTGTTCGGGTTCTGTCAGGAGTTGGGGAGAGTGAAGGAATGACAGCAGGTAAAACAGAGGGAACTGGACTCAGCTCTTTGTGGAGATTTTCCTTAGGCCTCAGCAGGCTTCTCCCCCACCCCAGCTCTACGCTTACCTGCTCCGGGACCTCCTAACTCCAGAGGCTCAGCATCTCCTGGTTCAGATCCTGATTTTGGGGAGGAAGAGGTTAGTTCTCCAGAAGGCAGGAAGAGGCCAATGGGGAGCCTGGCCAACTTTTTCTGTAAACAGCCAGCTAGCAAATATTTTAGGATGTGCAGGTCACATTTGGTCTCTATTTTTTTTAAATAGTCCTTTAAAAATGAAAGGCTACTCGCAGCTCATGAGCTGTCCAGAAACAAGTCGAACCTGTCTGTTTGCCTACACTTGGGCTAATGCAATACCCACGTTCCCAACCACAGTTTTTCCAACTCACGAGTCTCTTCTTTCTCAGGTTCTAAAATGGGTTTTGCATCTTCAGTCTGGCCTGGAAAAAAACCAAGGCATAAGATGTAGTCCCTGGAGGGAAAGAAGGTCTTCTCCTCCAGGCCCCTGCCCTTACCTGCTGGAGGGATGATCTTCTCCTGGTCACTGGCATTGGCATTGAGAGGAGGCTCTACCCGGGTTCCATTCTTGTCCTTGGGCCGGGGCCGGGGCTTGGAAAACTTGGCCTTATTGAGCAGATACTGCACCTCTCGGTCCAAGGTCATCATCTTGGCCTCAATGTCTTTTGAAAGCAACACGGGCTTCTCTGTGGCGGGAAGCTTGGCCTGTTCGGCCACAGTTGCATTCTTCCAGGCCTGTGGGTGAGACCAGGATAGGCTCCGAGTTAGCCATGGAAAGAGCAGACATCTCTGTCCCAGATGGAATCATACCCCAACCAGCCTCAGGTTCTTTCCTCAGACTGCAAATCACTCTGTGGTCCAGGCCTCAGCCCCATGGGGCAAGCAGATGCCTCAGAAGGCATCTGAGGCTCTCTGCAATGAGGTCTCAAACTACAGACTTCCAGCTTACCTCCTACTACTCTGGAGTGACTACACCTGAACAAACCCCTGAAGTATTCCTTTCTTGTCTCTCCACTTCTGAGTTCTGACTCAGAACAATCCCTGCATGTCCAGAAGAGTTTCTGCTTCACATTATAAGTCAGTCTCAAGTAGCCAAACCCTGGCCCATTTTCTGAGCCTAGCTCAAGTCCCAGCTCCTCAAAGAAGGTTTTTCTATCTTCACAGGCAAGGGCTTTGTTGCTCCTCCAGTCTGATGACTCTTAAGGCTATGACCCTTGTTTGAGACTAACCAAATGTGGGCTCAAAGGCAAACATCTTTTGCCTTCCTAATCAGATGCAGGGGCTGCTATGGCTTCGCCTCCCCCATGACACACAGCCCCAGCTAAGTATCCAGTTAAGTATTTACACAGTGATTACCCAGGTCTCGTTGATGACTTTCTCTAACGTTGTCATCTCCACCTCAGTGAAGATCTGGTCCATCTCTGGGATGAGCCGGGCTCCCCTGGAAGTCGGAGAGAAAATCAGCCCCAGCGGAAGAGGGGCTGGGTATGGGGAACGAAAAACTGACAGGAATGAGAGCAGGTGGCCTGGGCACGACTGAATAAAGAAAGGGCACAGGGGCTGCTCACTTGAGGAACATGCTGGAATGGTTGAGGAGATTATCAAGGGCAGACAGCCGTTCAGGCCACTTCTTGCGCTCTTCCACCCGAAAAAACAGCCCGTGGCACAGCTTCCTCAACTCAGCCAGCTTCTCCTTTAACATCTGGCAGATGGATCGAGCAGGGGGGTTGATGGGATGATGGCAGAAGCTGGAGCCAGCCCCGCATCCTTCTCTATGGCCTTGTGCCCTAGTTCTTCCCACTCTCTCTGACCCGGGAGAGCAAGGAGAGAGCTTCTATCCCACCCACATGTCCTGGAAGGACCCTCACCACTATGGTAGCTCCGAAACCTTCATCCTCTAGCCAGGTAGACGCAGCACTGAGTTTCCCCAAGATCTCCTCACGTTGCTCCTCTGTGGATACTTCCTGGTACTCAGACTGGTACAGTTTGTCCTAGGGAGATACACACAAACAAACATACGCAGCGAGCCCAAGGGCAAGGCTCACAGTGCCAGACACAAGTCCCAGGGGATAGGAGTGCTGCCTCCGGCCTACTGACCTGAGTTTCAAAGATGAAGGCTTCCAAGCTGTTGGCAGCTTTCTCCCGTTCCTGCTTTTCCAGATCTCGGAGTGTCAAGTCCTGAAGTCTGTGGGACAAAAGAGGCAGGGGTGAAGGAGAGGGCGGGTTAGAACTTACACACTGGGTCAGACGGCTCTCCCTCCCAGGGTACCACCCTGCACCCTGCCCACCCTGCGAGCACACTCACCAGCTGTCTTCACTTACCTCTGCACCGAAAGGGCCAGCTCATCCTCTGGTAAGTCAGGCAGGTCCAGAACAACCAGCTCCACCCCGATCTCCTCCACCATTCGCTGCTTCCTGGCAGACTTCTGCTTCTTTTCTCCCTCTGGGGCCAGAGGGACACCCTCAGGCCCTGCCTCATCCTTCTCACTTGGCTTCTGTGTGGGAAGAGTTGGGGATGTCATGAAAAGCCCCCGGCTTCCACATTCTCACAGGGGAGAAACAAAGCAGGCATCCACTCCTTTCCCCTCTGGGTCTACACTGGCCTTACTCTGCCTGCAGCTCACCTGGGCCTCAGACTTGTCTCCATTTTCTTTTTCTGTGGCCTTTTCTCCCTCAGGGGCTGCATCCCCCTTAGGCTCAGGAGGTGGGGGCTGAGAAGTATCCACTGGGGCCTCGGCTTCCTCCTTGAGCTCTACTTGCTCCCCAGGCTCCTCCTTGACCCCCTCTGCAGGGCTTTCTTCTTCCTCCTGGGAAACAATCACAAGCAGAGCCTACAGGTCAGGCCTGGCCTCAGCAATGCCCACTCCCCTAAGGCTCTGCTTCAAAGGCGTTCACCACTCAGCATACACCTGTATGGAAATGGTCAGCAGGCTGCTTGGACTGCAACAGTCTCGAACAGGGAAGAGGATCTGGAACAAGGGGATGGGACCTTGGAAGCTCTAGTACAGGGGGCAACTTGGAACCCGGAGCAACCCAAGAAGCATATGGTTAACTAAGCATGGCTAAGTTGGGGGAGGCCCACCCCCATTCTCTGCCTCTGCTGCCACTACCTGCCCCCAGTGCTGTCCACCGTACTCCCGGGCTTCATCCTGAGCTCACCTGGACTGCATCAGTACCATTCTCTTTGGCATCTGGTGTGGTACCACCTCCAAACAGGCTGGAAATGGTGTTGCCAAGTTCTAGGGAAAGAAAGACCAAAGACTCAAAAGGGGACCACAGCAGTGACTCCACCTCCCTGAACTGCACATGAGTATCTCTCATACACGACTGCACACATGTCACGCATGTGTTCATCTTACTGGTGAGAGTTGACTCCTCTTCTGGGCTGTCCTCCACCAGCGTCTCAAATACAGATTCCACCTGGAAACAAAGGTTGAAAATAAAGAAACACACATGCTAACCAACCTTTTCTCCACAAACACCCTACCAAAGTGGGTGTCGGCTTATGCACACCTCCAACCCCTGACTTGCAGTTGTGCAAGCCTAGTCTCGCACCTGCTTTTTCTAGACCTTGGGTGGTCACCCACTTCCTTTGACTACAAGCCTTCCGAGGAGAGGATCATAGCTCCTTTCCCCCTCGCAGACCCCACTTCTCCACTCAGTAACAGTGTGGCAGTTAATTGCACAGAATGTTCTAAAAGATATTAACCCCAAAAACTATTCTTCAAAATGGATTCCTCACCCATTCTATAGTTCCAAGAAATGTGTCATGCCCATAAGTATTTAGAGACTGCAGGGCAGTTCACACCAGGTCACCAGTCAGCTCTGCTTAGAGCCAAGATTCACCCCCAGGCCCTTTTTGGTTATCCTGTCCTAACACTACATGGAACCTGCTTTGGAAAAGGCTGGGGTCTCCTGCTCTCACCCTGTCTAGACTGAGCACACCACTCTCATCCAGGTTGAAGTGAGCCTTGATGCCCTTGGACTCATAGTCGGGATACTTCTTGAAGCTCTCACCCACACCTTTTAGCTTCACTGTGGTTAGATTCTGGGAGCCAAATACCCTGGTTGGGGAGGAAAGAGGAGTTCAAGGTTAGCTCAACTCCAATCCCAAACTACATAGCCTCCTGGCATGGGATGTCAAAGGCCCTCCCCCAAAACACACTCAGGAAGATGGAAGCTGTTTACAACCTAACCCTCACCCTACAGCCCACTTCTCCTGCTTCAGCCCTGCAGGCTCCACACCCTCAATCCTCAGGTTATCTGGTAGCCATGCTTCCCCTCCCCAGACTGACCATCCTGTATCCCTGTCCCTCACCTAAGATCCTCAGGCCCCAGGAAGGCCAGGTCACCATAGTTGATGTGGAAGTTGAAATCATGGCTGTAGCGGTTAAAGGTGATGACTTTGCGTTGAGGGTAGGGCCCCATCCGGGAGAAAAGTACACGTTTGTTGTGCTTCAGATTGCGAATCCCAGGCTCCTCCTCCACTTCCCTTGTGAACTCCACCTACACAGCAGGTAGGGAGAAGGCACACTGGAGAGCCAGAGCAGGTTCTGGGTAAGGAGTGGGGACCGCAGGGGGGTGACTCTTAGCAGGAAGACAAATGGATGAGCTAGAACAGACAGAAGGGGAGATCTACTTGGGAGAGGTGAGGGAGCTTGCCACCTGATCAGTCAGGTTTACTCACCAGGATGGGGTAGACTACCGCATCTCGAACAACAAATGGCTTCACCTTGAAGGCTTTGCTGAGTGCAGCTGCCTGGTACACAGCCCCCATTGCAGCAGCTTCGTCTGCGTTGATATTCTTTCCCAGCTCCTCTCTAAGAAAGTTCCAAGCTTCAACATTGGCTACCCTGGAACACCCAGCCTCGACTCCCTCACCTCAGCCCTCCAGCCGCCCAGTCCTACTGCCCTGCTCCAGGCAGAGCTAGGCCCAATGCCTCAGTCCCCAAACTCACTTGCCCACTGCCTTCAGCAGTACCTCCTGAACTTTGGGGACCCGAGTGGCCCCACCCACCAGGATCACCTGCTCAATCTCATCCTGCAGGGAGAGGGAAGATTGTGGGGGAAGCATGAGTGGGGGAAGAATGAGAGGTGAGACAGACAAAGTGAACTCTCTTCTTAGCACCAACTCTTCTTTTGACATCCAACATTTCTACCCCATTCCCCACCGGGCACCTCCACCTTCCCCTGCCTACTCACCAAACTCATTTCAGCACTCTGGATGGCATGCTGTACAGGTCCAGGCACCCGCTCAAACAAGTCTGCACACAACTCCTCAAACTCAACTCGAGTCACTTTTGCCTTGAAGTCCACATCGTCCATCAGGCCCTCGATCTGGAGGAGGAGGGGAGTGTCAGGGAGTTCTCACCCAGGTCCTGCTCTCTGGGTGGGAAGGACAGAGAGCAAGGGAACAGGACTTTTGGGAGGATGGCAGAGGAGCAGGAAGAATGACATGGGTCATGTCAGGCACAAACAGCTCAGCTCAGTGGCAGGATCATCTGTTCTCGATGTGGAACAAGTTTGCCTCAAGCAGCCACACATGGGCACCTGTGCCATGTGGTCGGCGTTGGCACTCAGGACGGTTTTGAGCCGGTTAGCCTCACGCAGCAGCTTGGCCATGGCACGTGGGTTCTCCCGTACATCTTTTGCTCTCTGACCCTTGCGCTGCTCATTGAAAAGCCCAGCCAGGTGCTCACGCAGCCGGAGCTCCATCTCCAGGCCCCCCAGGGTACGGTCAAACCTGTTTAGAAAAGGGAGCAGGGAGAAGGGTGAGGAACACATAGGGCCCCAACATCGGTATAGAAGCCTCTCACCCCCAGTGTTCCAAGTGTGGTCACACACTCTCCACAGTACAGCCAACACCTTAAGGTGACTGTCCATTCACCCATTCATTCAACAGTATTTACTGAGCATCATTTACGTGCTTGTCTTGGAGAATACAAATGTGGTAGCAGGGAAGGAAGAAAGACAGGGTCCCTGCTATACAAAAGTTGAATAACCAGGTAAATATGAAATTATAACCACCCCACGTGTTACAAAGGCTAGGCAGACAGTGCCAGGAGAACATGCATGTGAGAGATTTGAACTACTGAGGAATGTCCAGGAGAGCGTCCCTACAAAAGTGATACTTGAACTGCAACCTGAAAGATGAGCTGGGGTTAACTAGAGGGAGAGAAAAGAACATTCTAGACAGTTCATAAAGTGTTCATAAAGACCCTGAGGTGGGAGAGAGCATGGCAAGATCCAAGGGAGGGCAAGTATTACTGAGGCTCAAAAAGCAAGAGGGCTCGGGGTTAGAGACACACGGTGGGAGGGAAGGCTGACACGGGTGCAGGAAAAGTCTTGGAGCCACTGAAGGGTTTTTCTTTTTTTTTTTTGAGTTGGAGTCTCATTCTGTTGTCCAGGCTGGAGTGCAGTGGCACACTCACAGCCACCATAGTCTCGAACTACTGGGCTCAGGTGATCCTTCTGCCTCAGCCTTCCAAGTGGCTGGAACTATAGGCATGCGCCACCACATCCAGCTAATTTTTTTATTTATTGTAAAGATGAGGACTCGTCAAGTTGTCCAGGCTGGTCTTCAACCCGTGGGCTCAGGCAATTCTCTCCCCTCAGCCTCCCAAAGTGCTAGAATTTTAGGAGTGAGCCACCATGCCAGGCCTCACTGAAGAGTTTTTAAAGAAACAGGTCACAGCCATATTGGCATCTTATTTATTTTTTTGAGTGGGAGTCTCACTCTATCATCCATGCTGGAGTGCAGTGGCACACTCACAGCCACGCAGCCTCAATCTGCTGGGCTCAGGTGATCCTTCTGCCTCAGCCTTCCAAGTAGCTGGAGCTACAGGCATGCGCTACCATGCCCAGCTAATTTTTTTGATTTATTGTAGAGACGAGGTCTTGCCAAGTTGCCCAGGCTGGTCTTGAACACCTGAGCTCCGGTAATCCTCTCGCCTCGCCTCTCAAAGTGCTGGGATTATAGGCATGAGCCACCATGCCCAGCTCATATTGGCATTTTATTTTTTTAAATTTTTAAAATTTTTTTGAGTTGGAGTCTCCCTCTGTTGCCCAGACTGGAGTGCAGTGCCCGCTCCCAGCCACCGCAGCCTCGACCTGCTGGGCTCCGGAGATCCTTCCGCCTCAGCCTTCCAAGAAGCTGGAACTACAAGCGCGTGCTACCATGCCCAGCTAATTTTTTGATTTATTGTAGAGATGAGGTCTCGCCAAGTTGCCCAGGTGGGTCTCGAACCCGCGGGCTCAGG